AATGTGACCTTGACCTGACCTTCGCTACGCAACCCAAGGTCAAACTGATGTGATCAGTAAATACATCTTTTTAAACGCCACAACTTTTGTCTGAAACATTTTTTTGTAAAACTTATATTTTTCCTGATATTCGGGCGTTCCGGTACTTTCCGAACACCCTGTATATATATGTATGACTTTTTATGCTTAAATATTAGAAAAGTGATATAAATAAAATAAATAATTTTGTCAATCAGTCTAATATTTTATAATCCATTTAAACAACAGAATAATAGTATAGATCACTATTATTGTTATTTCAATGTTTATTGACAATTGGATATCGTTATTGCAGAGAAGTAGATATCAGCAGTGGTATCTCGAAAGAAGCGGCGCAGGTGTATGATACGGTGACATTCCGCGGACCACCGTTGTTGAAGCAACGCTTATGGCCGCGTCATTGCGTACAGGACTCATGGGGCGCAGAGCTGCATAAAGATTTGAAAATTGTGGAGGATGCGATTAAAATCTACAAGGGCACAAACCCAGAGGTGGATTCGTACTCAGTATTCTGGGACAACAAAAAATTAACAGAGACAACGTTGTCATCACAATTGCAGCAAAAAGGCGCTACCGATATCTACATTTGTGGTCTTGCATATGACGTGTGCGTGGGAGCAACTGCTGTGGATGCGCTCACCAGCGGTTATCGTACAGTATTAATTGATGACTGCAGCCGCGGTGTGGACCTCGTTGACATCGAGAAAACCAAAGCCACTGTGATAGCGAGTAATGGCGTGATAGTGAACTCCAGTCAGGTGAAAGCAATGGTAGAGGGAAAAGATCGCCGACCGGAGCTGGGCTATAAGCTCGCATTGGAGATCAAACACAAGATGAATCTCGATGAAGAATAATGTAGTAGCAAGTCTAATATAGTCTATATTTAGACGCTTTTTTTCAAATTAAGTCTCCTGGCTACTCACTGCAGCTATTTTTATTTATGACCCCAAAAGCGAAAAAGTATACGCTCAAAAGTCTTGCAAAATACGTTGAGATAAAAAGGTATATCTACAATATCATGCAATCAATGAAGCAGATTTATAGAATAGTACAAACATTTTCTTTTTGTTTTGATAATCAATAAAAATATTAAAATAATATTAAAAATAAAACTACAAAATTAATATGATAAAATTATGAGAAAAAAATGAAATAAAAAGGTAGGTATTATGTTAATTTGACGATAATTTATTGATTATTAGAGCAAAAAAAATTTTCGGACTATTTCACAAATCTGCTTCGATCAATGTCATTTTATGGATGTATCTTTTTATTACAATGTATATATCTTTTTATTAAAACATATTTTGCAAAAATTTTGAGCCTTTCATTTTTCCAATTCTAATGTCATCAAACAAAAGATCCACAGCAAAAGACCAGGAGTTTTAATACATTAACGTAAAGACCCGCTAAATTTAAAGCTGTTATAGCCCTTAAATAGTAATTTTTGTTAATATAATTGGTATGAGGATGTAACAAATATAAGAATAAAAGAACTAATAGATGTACAAATATGTAAAAATAAATAAAAATGAACCTACTTTCAACAAGATATTGAGGTAAGCACAGAAGTAGATATTAAAGTAGTTATTCAATTAATATAACGTTGTAGCTGTCGTTGCTCTAGATAAAATTATTTAAGAAAATTCCTTAAGGGGACCAAGTAGGTTTCAACGGCTAATATTCGAACGACGGTTCAAGACAAATGAATTAACATACATAAAATTAATATACATAAAATTTGTTTGTGCAAGTTATTTAATACATTTTTAGGAATAAAATAAACATTAGTAATAAAAAAATATTAATAATTGAATGAAATATTGTTAATTTAAAAGAACCTCAATTTTGCGGTATTACCGCGATTCCGAGAGAACAATTTTTTAAATTTTGAAGACATAATTTAATAACTCCTTCTATAAACTAAATCTAAATTTAAAAAAAGAACGTCAAAATTAAAGTAATGATAAGCAAAAGATTAAAAAAAATCGAAAAATTCAAGATATTTGTTATTAAAACGATATTAGAAAATGAATTCTTATATGCAAAAATATATTCAGTTTATGTAATGCGCCTTTATCTTTAATTTAAAAAAAGCAACTTGATATCTTTAGCCGTTCATGAATTATTATAGCAAAACTAGCGTAAAATGCTATTTTGAGAAAAATGCGTTTAAAGATTGAGAACAGAATTACAGCTAAACAGCATTTCTTATATACTTTAAAACAATGCTAAAAAATCGGATACCAATTATATTCATTTTATCAAATGAAATAGCGATCACTCTCCTTCTCTGAAAGATAGATAAATAAATTTTCTCTTAGCATCAGCACAAAAGCACGCCGCTGTCTAATAGCGGACGTTCTGCCGGCTCTGTACGGCTTCACATATTTTTGAATTTCTTGAACTTTGTGAATATCGAAGTCCGTCTTGCGTCAAAATGTTCTTAAAAGATTGTACTAACCGATTATACGATAAACAAAAGATCGTTTTTCTGATATTTTAAACCTACCTGGTTCCCTTAAGAGAAATAAAATTTGAAAAGTATAAAAGCTAGGTTTATGTTAAATACAAGATCGATGATGTGTTTATATTTAAAATAACTCAAGTTAAGATTTTCAAATTAAGATATTCAAATTAAAATTAATACGCGATGGATACTTATAATAAATAATACAAAAAAATAAGTCTTATTTCGTTTCAATTTTTATTTACGAGCGAAATAAAGAAGCGCGGACAATTATGTTATAAATATCCATTAAAATTGATTTTTCAAAAATAAGTGAATTAAGTTAATTGTTACAGAAGATTTAGCTATATGTATTGCGACAAGTTTCCACTGACTTCCAAGTTTCGTAACGAAAGTGATAACATTGAACGCCAAGTGGAATGGCACCATGTTGAACGGCAAATTTGTACTACTCACAAACGCAAAACGATATTCTAAATACTAAAATTCCAAGCTTCGTTTGAAATTCATGGTCCGTACGGAACTGATAACTCTATGGTTTTTCAGTCGGAAATGAGAAGGTTTGGAGAATGTCAGGCAGAGCTCGGGTGAAAAAATCAACGATGTAGATCATTTGGTAGAATAATGGTAGAATAACAAGGTTTATTTGATCTTAATCATACCGCACAGATTCGATATAAGATTCGAAATAAGATTCTCACGTTGTTAAAGAATCGCACACAAACTTGTTGGTAGCTAATATATTATTAGAATACAGGTTATTAGATTGACGATCTTAATATCGGCAATAGAAACTTGAGTCGAGAGCTTCAAACTCGCTCCTGCTGAAGGAGTTGTATTTCGCTGGCACGTCACGCAGAACTATTCTTGGCATTAAACGCAAAAGAATATACTAAATCTGCGGGAAATAGTCTCGGTAATCTGACGGCCGGCCGACCGAAATCTCCTCCGTAATTACGATACTAAGTAGATATTGGATTAAGTGGTCTTATAATTAACGAGGCCAGTGGAGTAGCAAGAAAAAAGCTTAGGGCGGGGGGCTACTTTTTATTTTTGACGAACAAATAAAAAGGTCATTCGAAAAAATTTTTCTCACACTTAACGTAACTCAGAAAATTAATTTCAGTGGGGAGGCTGCAGCCTTCTCAGCCCCGCCCCTTGGCTACGGCACTGAACGAGGCTCCTCGTCGTCAACAGCCTTTTCAAAGTCCCTCTTTCTCTCTCGAATCGGCTCTCACTGGTTCGTATAATAAGCAGCCCCGTAAAGTTAGCCCCCCAAATATTCGAAAAAATACAATTTCTACACCTAATTCGTTGGCTCATTGTTTGCACATGTTCGCACATCAAGAATTTTCGTTTGCACACCTCTAGTTTCAAAGTTATTGAAAAAACAATTTTGGGGGGACCAACTTCATACTAGCCCCCAACATTCAAAAAAGTAAACTTTCTTCAGCTCAAACGATTGCACATCGTTTGCACATGTTTGCACATCAAGAGTTTTCGTTTGCACATATTTAGTTTAAAAGAAATTTAAAAAACAATTTTGGGGGGACCAACTTCATACTAGCCCCCAACATTCAAAAAAGTAAACTTTCTTCAGCTCAAACGATTGCACATCGTTTGCACATGTTTGCACATCAAGAGTTTTCGTTTGCACATATTTAGTTTAAAAGAAATTTAAAAAACAATTTTGGGGGGACCAACTTCATACTAGCCCCCAACATTCAAAAAAGTAAACTTTCTTCAGCTCAAACGATTGCACATCGTTTGCACATGTTTGCACATCAAGAGTTTTCGTTTGCACATATTTAGTTTAAAAGAAATTTAAAAAACAATTTTGGGGGGCTAACTTCACACTAGCCCCCCAAGTTGCTCAAACTTAACTCACAATGCATGTAATCGATAGATTTTCGTTTACACATTTCGAAACAACTTGAATTTTCGTTTGCACACCTCTAGGAAAAAAGTTATTTGACTTTAAACTTTGAGGAGGCCACAAAAAAACAAACTCACACTTGCCGAAATTTATGACTGCAAAATAAAATTGTTTGACGTATGATATCATTAGATCTTCGTTTGCACATTCGAAACAAGTCGAATTTTCGTTTGCACACCTCTAGGAAAAAAGTTATTTGACTTTAAACTTTGAGGAGGCCACAAAAAAACAAACTCACACTTGCCGAAATTTATGACTGCAAAATAAAATTGTTTGACGTATGATATCATTAGATCTTCGTTTGCACATTCGAAACAAGTCGAATTTTCGTTTGCACACCTCTAGGAAAAAAGTTATTTGACTTTAAACTTTGAGGAGGCCACAAAAAAACAAACTCACACTTGCCGAAATTTATGACTGCAAAATAAAATTGTTTGACGTATGATATCATTAGATCTTCGTTTGCACATTCGAAACAAGTCGAATTTTCGTTTGCACACCTCTAGAAAAAAAGTTATTTAACATTGAAATTTGGAGGCTAACTTCACACTTGTCGAAACGTAGGTTAAAATTGCAGGAAAAAATTTTCTGACGAATGATATCGTTAGATTTGCGTTTGCACATTCCGAAACAATTCGAGTTTTAGTTTGCATACCTCCAGAAGAAAAGTTATTTAACATTGAATTTTGGGGGGCTAACTTCACACTTGGCGAAACCTAGGTTAAAATTGCAGGAAAAAATTGTCTGACGCATGATATCGTAAAATTTTCGTTTGCATATTTCGAAACAAGTCGAGCTTTCGTTTGCACACCTCAAGAAGAAAAGTTATTTAACATTGAAATTTGAGAGGCTAACTTCACACTTGTCGAAACCTAGGTTAAAATTGCAGGAAAAAATTTTCTGACTCTTGATATCGTTAGATTTTCGTTTGCACATTTCGAAACAATTCGAGTTTTAGTTTGCACACCTCCAGAAGAAAAGTTATTTAACATTGAAATTTGGGGGAGCTAACACACTTGGCGAAACCTAGGTTATTGTTTTCCTGCAATTTTAACTTAGGTTTCAACAAGTGAGAAGTTAGTCCTCCCAAAATTCAATGTTAAATAACTTTTTTTCTAGAAGTATGCAAACGAAAACTCGACTTGTTTCGGAATGTGCAAACGAAAATCTTACGATATCATGCATCAGACAATTTTTTCCTGCAATTTTAACCTAGGTTTCGCCAAGTGTGAAGTTAGCCCCCCCAAAATTCAATGTTAAATAACTTTTCTTCTGGAGGTATGCAAACTAAAACTCGAAATGTTTTGGAATGTGCAAACGAAGATCTAATGATATCATACGTCAAACAATTTTATTTTGCAGTCATAATTTTCGGCAAGTGTGAGTTTGGCCTCCCCAAAGTTTAAAGCCAAATAACTTTTTTCCTAGAAGTATGCAAACGAAAATTCGAAATGTGCAAACGAAAATCTATCGATTACATGCATTGTGAGTCAAATTTGAACAACTTGGGGGGCTAGTGTGAAGTTAGCCCCCCAAAATTTTTTTTTAAATTTCTTTTAAATTAAATGTGTGCAAACGAAAACTCTTGATGTGTAAACGATGTGCAATC